TATATATATATTGTTGTTTTTAATTAATATTTTAGATAAATAAAATAGCGTATGGCTCGTGAGCAACGGGCGCTGTGTTGCCTCCAATCTATAGTGCAAATGGCGTGCACTATGTTAATATTCAGTGTTTTTTCATGCTATTAGCAATGATCTGCTTTTGCAATATATGTTCAGGAATAAACCTCCAGTGCTCTGATTTAAAGCCCTTATGTATTATCTAGATTGCTCTTGTCGTGTTGGGCACATCTGATGACAAATTTCAAACGAAGAGATTTCTAACAATCCAGTCTCAAACCTCCACACATAGAAGAGCCAATGCTCACTGGTTTGTGTTGCTTATTTATAAATGGGTTACTGTATATGGTCTATAAATTCCAAAGTTTGTGCCTTTTAGGAAAATTTTTAAGTGTTTGTGGTCTTTCAAACCAATCCATTTTTTTATACTATCATGCTAGTTTTGTGACCGAACTCACTCCTAAATTTCTCAGAAGAATTTTTGTAGAATTTATAAAATCCATATCACTCATTATTATGATTTCATACACTTCTGATGTGTTAGTGCATTAAAATTTAGAAAGGAAATGTCCTCCAAACTTTACAGATTTTAAAGGCTATCTTTTCAATGCCATGCTTCAGGTGGTGGTCTCCATCAAAGTTTGATCCAATTCGGTCACCTATGTTATTTTTTGAGAAGGGTATGCCTGTGCTACCTCCTTTACCTCCAGATGTTGGCATTGATATCACTCTGAAACATATGGTATGCTCATCTTCGCACTTAATTTTTTTTTCAAGTTTTCAAAGGGATAACAATATTTTGCTGGTTTTCTGATTGAACTTTGGCATAATTCAAGAAGAATCAATCTGCAGCTAAGAATTTTGCTAACAATTGATAGCAAAACATAAGTATTTTAGATCCATCTCAATAAAAGCATTACTCAAACTGATATATGACCACCATACAAAATTGGGTCAGTGATGCTTGTCTTATTCAAAATATGTTGTGGCTATGAATCTGTTTTAATTTTATAACTCTATGCATCTACCATGTTACAATACCTTTTATTATGGTTTAGTAGTTGAATTACCTTGAATGGAAGCCAAATGCATGCATGATTATAGAGGTAGGATAAATATCTGAAAAACATGGAAGGGCATTCATTGGCATTAAATATTCAACCAATTTAAAAAAAAACACATGTACTTATTATTATCATAAAAACCTAACTTTATATGTATCACCGAATTGTGTCATATTCTTATATTGCTTCATCATGAGATTTCATTCACTATTGCTGATGTGATTTTGCATAGTCATGGCATTGTGTTATTGTTCGTGTGCTTCTTATTAGTTATGTTGAAATTATATGTACAGTAAAATAAGCCATGGTTTAAAAAATAATTGGAGGTCTTTGTCTTGTGGTGTGCCTTGATCTAAAGTTCACAGAGAATGCCTTGAGATTCATTCCTTGATGTAGCTAGTGAGGCTTACACTTTTTTCTTCTGAGGTGTGTCTCGAGGTGCCTCATGACAGCTGAGGTGGCTTCTTCATGAGTTCATATAAAAAAAATTATTACACTGTAATAATATAATATTAATATATGTTTTATTTTATATACCGAAAAAATCTCTCTTTGATCCACATCATCACATTCAATTTATTAGCTCATTCGATTGCTTAGGGTTGTGAGGTTTGCTACCCAATAAAAGTTTGACTTCGTCTTCATGTGAGTGTGAGGCAAAGCGGTAATAGGAGCAGGAGCAGGAGCGGAGCGGAAGAGGAAGAGTATGAATGGTTGGGAGTTGTCTTAAAGTTGAGTGTGGTAGAAGAGATATCCATGTGCAAGAGATGGGAGAAGCAATCTGGTGTCTTAGGTGATTTTAATTTTACTGACTTTTATTTATTTATTTATTTGAGGTTTTAGATTATTATAATTATGTTAATTTTTGTTTTGTATTATTATGCTAATCTTTCTGTTAAGTTTTAGTGTTTTATTGATTATGTTATTTTCTTTTATGTTTTAGATTATTATGTTAATATTACTTTTTTCAATTAATTTATAGATTTTTATCTGTAGAAGTTATTCCACATTGATTGTTGTTTGCTAATTTTTGCATAGTAATAAAATGGCTTCTGCTGAAATGTAACAACAACAATGTTATTTTATCGTATTTCACTTCATTCTAGAGTGGCGTTTTTTTATCATTCTCCGCATGAAGTAAGTATTCTCGAATTGTTATCTATTCTTTTTTTAACCCCCACTTCATGAATTATTTTTTTTTCTTTTCATCTACAAAGATAGGAATTTAAAAAACATAGGTTTATGTAGATACTAAATCTTCCTTTCTTTAAATTTTAATAATGCAGTCCCGATACTAAATAAATATATAAAGGATTCATGTCATATTTATAAATTATTCTTAATGTAATGAGTTTTTTATTTTTCAATTTCTAGGCTTACAAGCCGGTCTGTCTTGAGGTTTGCGTCTCTTGTCACATAGAAAAAAATTCTATGTTCTTGTTTTTTTTCATTTTTTTTAAACATTGATGTAAGCTGGTTGTCTATGCCAACTTTTGTTGTGTGATTCTGAACTCAATCGTCAATGAATGACGTCTACTTATCAAAAAGGCGTCTTTACTGACTTCTGCCTATACCTTCTTTAGTTGACCTGCATTATTTAACTTGCACGCTACTTTTGTAAGAATGCTTTTATTGTAGTATTCAACTAGCGCTTTTTCTGAGATTTCAACCTCAGTAGGAGATACCCTGCTACTTCCTGCTCTGTGCAATTCTTATTGAAATTATTCTAAGGGAAATTCAAGGCCGGTTTTTTTTTAGCTTTTTAGCATTCTTTCTTTTGAGTTTCGAAATCTTCCTTTCTTTAAATTTCCCGAAGTTTCTTTTTTTAAATTTCAAGAAACAAAACCTTTTTTTTTTTTTCAAATAATCATCAATGAAAGTAAGAAAATACTTGCTGCCCATGTGATTCACACTTCTTGCACGATCTAAAAGATTTTAATGCACATAATCTAAGGTTTTTTTATATTTATATTTTGAAGTGGCAAACTTCTATCTCTTGGATTTTTCCTTTACAAAGTGTTTACAAATATCAAAATCTGCAAGCTTCTTATTTTTTTTTTTGTAACTCTTTTAGCCCTCTTAGGCTTATATCTTAAAATCTGATGCCATAGTTTGATTTTATTAACAAAGTTACAAGATATGCCAACTCACCCTCCAATCACTATTTTAATTTGCATTGTATGCACCCCATTAATAAGAATCACTTTCATCATGATCAAAGATCCACTGCACACCTTTAGACTTCCACCATCACAAAAAAACTATGTCCATTGCAGTTTAATTCATCAAAAGAAATCAAATTTCATGCCCAGGGACTTAACTTACTTTCTTCAGCAACCTTTCCATATCATCATGGAATTTGAGTCGAATTAGTCTTCACCTTGAGCTTTTCAGGTCTTGTTGTCTCCATATACACTATGCTTGCCTCTTTACATTGAGAAGCGCAAATTAACTCATTTTTGTCCATAATGGTAGGTGCATTCGGAGTATAGGGTCTATATCTTACTTGGATCTACGTTTGAGATTAATGGGACCTCGATATTATCATAGCCTTCCATCAATGTTGCAACTCCTTAATCTCTAATTGATGTGGGAATGCTCTCGCTTCAGACGAGGGACGTGAGGCTCTCGTTTTCCTTCTTTTAATGTTTTCTTTCCTATTATGTTTCATTTCTTTTTAGTTTTTTCCTATGTGTGTTGTATTAGGGTTTAGAAGACAATTTTTTATGTGAATTTGTTTAGGAAAACCGCTGACGTCCGTTTTCTTCCTTCGAGGGTTGTATCCGAGGGATTGAGTAGTGCTCCTCTTGTATCTCTTACCCTATGTGCTAATTATCTTCCCTTATCCTCTTCTACATCCTCCCACATCACTCCCGGCCACCCCTTACCTATTGTAGCTGCGTGGAACAACCTATTTTTCTTATTTTCTGTGGTTCCTCAGTTCTAGTTGCTTTCCCTGCTCCTCGACTGTTGTTTCGGTCACCCATATCCATTTCCCTTGCCGCCTTGCTGCCGTTCCGGCTACCAGAATCTGCAGCCTTGGTTGTTGTTCCAACCATTCCAAAAAATTCACTGCTACCTAGACACTGTTCCAACCCCCCCCTTTGTTGCCATCATCCTAGACAACTGTTAGACGTCAATATCTACTGCGTACTTGTTTGGAACCCATGAAACTGTTTTCTTGTTGTTTTCTTCTAGCCAATCATTTCGTCCGCCATTTCGCTTCCTTCATGGCCCTCACCGATCACCTCCACCTCCGCTTGATCCAACCATAGTTGGAGTTAGTATGTCGAGTCTGTTGTTATTTCCTATTTCTGTGAGTTGTTTGTAATTTCCTATTTGAATTTCAGTAATAATATTTACTTTACCATTGTTGTGTGGGTTAACTCCGGTATCATTTGGTATCAGAGCTAGTTCAATCCTAGTCTTATCTTAGGATTTCTAGCATCCACTTCTATTCATCTCTACCTCTACCCAAAATTTTTCTTTCCACACTACACACCTCCTTCTATCTATACACCACCGAGGAGGCAATTGCTAGAACCCGATAAGGAATTTATCATGGTTGATATACAACGACTACTCTACCAAGTGCTACAAAAGTTTGATGCCATTGAGAAAAAGACTCATGGCTGGATCACCGTCGATCGTAATAAAGGAGAGTAAGAATACCATCTGAATCCATTTCGTAGGGATGATTTCAATGGAGAGGAAGATCGACAAGAGTGCATTGGGATACAATATCAGAGAAGGTTGAGAGATGAAGTTCCTATTGAAAGATACAAAGATGAGATGCCAGTCGGAGGATATAGAGATGAAGTGCCTATTGGAGGATACCGAGACTGATAAGTGAAAGTGGACCTACTAGACTTCGAGGGGAGAATAAATCTAGATGATTTTTTGGAGTAGATGCAGATTGTTGAGCGGATCTTTGAATATAAGGAGGTTTTCGATGACAGAAGAGTGAAGCTCGCCACTATTAAGTTGAAGAAGAATGTCTTTTTGTGGTAAGAGAACCTGAAAAGGGAGAGAGAGAGAGAAGGACGAGAGAAAATCACTTCTTGGAAGAATATAAAGAAGACTATGCAGCGACAGTACCTACCCTGTGCTATCTTTAGGATATTTTCTTAAAGTTCCACTACCTACAGCAGAAGGAGTCGTCAATGGAGGAGTACACACCATAATTTTTGTAGCTTAAATTGAAGTGTGAACGGAAGGAGCCAGAGGAGCACACCATAGCCAAATACTTAGGAGGTTTGAAGCTTGCCATCAATAATGTGGTACAATTTGAAATTTATTGGATACCGAGGGACATGTACACCTTAGCACTGAAAGTAAAGAGACAACAGAACCACCGCTAGCTAGGCAGTTACCCACAATGGGAACTCTTAGGAGGACCACGTCTCAGAGAGTGGAGCAGATTGGTTGGGATAGGGTAGAGCCATTTCGAGTGAGAAAAAGTCTGAGAAGAGTAGCCTGCCTACTACCATCCTAGCTAGGAAATGCTTTAGATGCCATTATTTTGGACACATCGCTTTCGGCTGCCATACGAGCCGAGATGTGTCCTTCACTGAGCAGGATACAATAGAGGAAGTGAGCGACAGAGAGACAACTGAAGAACAGTGTGGGAATTATCATCTTCCATAAAATGAGAGTGAGATACTCTTGGTTCGACGGGTTCGCAGATTGAGGATATGAGGAAGTAGCAGTAACTTCACAATAATATATTCTATACCCGTTGCACTATTAAAAGAAGGTTATGCCGTCTCATCATTGGTGGATGGAGCAGTAAGAACATGTCAAACACACAAATGGTGAACAAACTGAGCCTTATGACTCAGTGGCATTCCTAGCCGTATTCCCTAATGTGGTTGAAGAAGGAGAATATGGTCAACATTGACATGAGGTGTCTCGTGGAGTTTTTGATTGAGAGCTAGCTATAGGATCAGGTTTGATGTGATATGGTGCCCATCGATGCCTGCCACCGTTTGTTTGTGAGACCATGACAATATGGCCATAGGACTCAACATGATGGGTACATGAATACCTTCTCATTTACGAAGGATGGAAAACACATCTTCCACTTACCTTCTGCGAAATCCAAGGTTATGGGTGTTCGTGCTAGTACTGAGATGTCGGGAGGATACGTTTTGGTGATGACAGAGGATATCAAGATAGAAGAGTTAGCTTGAGACATAGGGCAACCAATGCAAAGTGAGTTTCAGGACATTTTGTTTGATAGTTTTCTGCCATGGCCGCCACTATTCAGGGAGATTATGGCTACCATCGCTTCAGATCTGGTGGAGCCAACCTTGAATTATTTTGGGAAGATGCAACAGTATATAAGTGACACGCAAAACCAATTCAGTTTAGTAGTGAGCTCTCATAAAACTAGATCGATAATGGGGGAGCTACTCAACTGTTTTGGTAGATAGTGCAGTCATCAGTGAGATACAGGTGTTTCTCAGCCTGCAATCGAGTAGCTTTAACCCTGGGAAGTCACAATAGCTTCGTCACCTCAATGGTGATGACTTGATGTCATACTAGAAGGAGATAAAAGCTTCAATGGATGAGGTCAAAGCTCCCTTAACTCCAGGAGATTGACTCGGTAGTGCTCCCGCTTCGGACATGGGACATGAGCCGCGACTCCTGTACAATCAAGGGAGCGGGCCGAAAGTCCCGTTTCCCTTTTTTTTATGTTTTCTTTCTTATTATCCTTCATTTCTTTTTATTCCTTATATATATACATATGTATTGTATTAGGATTTGGAAGATAGTTTTTGGCATGAGTTTGTTTATGATAGTGAACAACGTACGTTTTCTCACTTTGAGGGTTGCATTCGAGGGATTGGGTGGTGCGTCGGCTGTATCTCCCTCCCGAGGTGGTGATTAACTTCTCCTTTCCTCTTCCGCAAGCTCCCATATCGCTCTGGTCACATCTTCCTTGCTACTGTTGCCGCCCAAAATAACCTCTTCTTGCCATTTTCTGCACTTTCTGCATTTCAGCTGCCTTCCCCATCCCTTTGTTGCTGTTCTAGACACTCATATCCATTTCCCTTGCCACTTCGTTGGCGTTTTGACCAGCAGAAACACCCCTCTGCAACTCTAGCTGCTATTCTAGCTATTTCGAACCACTTTCCTGCCACCTAACCATTGTTCTAGTCCTCTTCTTGTTGCCATCATCACTGACAGCCGTGTGACATCAATATCTGTTGCACACTTGTTGTCTGGAACCCATGAAACTGTCGCCTTGTTGTTTTCTGGTAGCTAACCGACTCGTCCACCATCCCGCCAGCTTCCCGACCCTTACCAACCACCTCCACCTCCCCTTCATCCAACCCTAGCGGGAGATAATGTGTCGTGTCTATTGTTATTTTCTATTTCTGTTGGTTGTTTGTAACTTCCTATTTGAAATTTAGTAATAATATCTACTTTCCTATTATTGTGCGGGTTAACTAGATTATCATTAACACTTTTTTAGTTCTTGATCTAGGCATGTCTTTTTGAAATGAACACAAATAAATCTTTTCCTTTCTTTTGATTTAGATTTTTATTGATTCTTGGAGTTTAGTTCCTTTTATTTTTTTGATCGTGGCAAAACACTGTACATTGTGGCAAAACATTATCAAAACTTTTTTTTTTCTTTTCTTTAATTTTGCTTTGCTTACTTTTATTTTTATTTTATTATTTTATTTTTTTAATTTGGGGGTTGGTTGAATGGAATTACGAGATAAATAATTCTGGGGAGTGGTTATTTGGGGAAATAGAGGATGCCGGTGAATAATGATTTTAGTGATAAAGATTTGACTTGGAGGCATTGAAGAGGCATTAGCGGAAGTTGATTGATGATGCTCTATATGATTTAGTAGTTATAAAATGGGAGGAGTTCATCCACATTGAAGGTAGTTCATCTTGACCTATATCAACTTTTATTATTCAAGAAATAGAATATGAAATTAGCTCACTATAAGAAGAAGGAGAAGAAGAAATATATTTGGAAGATGAACGATATTTTCTTGAATTTTTTCTTGAAAGTGAAAAGGATTATGTGAATGAAAAAGAAGATGATGACTAATATATTCCCTTTAATTTGCTTTGTAAAACTTGAGACATTAAGCAGTTAAATTTTGCTTTGTTATGAATTAAATGTGTTTTTATGCAATTTAAACGTTTCAAAATTTTAAAGCAAACAGCTATTCAATTTAAAATTTATAATAATTTTTTATGCATGGTAGAAATCATTAGAATTTTCAATTTGTAGGTTCATCTTAAAAATTTATTTTCAAGTTAGCTCTATGCATCACATTTCTTTTCTATTCTATATCATTTTTTTAGCCACTTATTAAATGCTCCTTTTTTTATAATTATTAATTATTGCATCATTACATTTATACTTTTATACAAGTTATGAGTGCTTTATTTGATAAAAGCGAGAGAAACAATTGCACATCACATTGAGCTTCGTACTTTGAACACATTGCTCTTAGCTATTATCTCTACTGTTTTTGAGATTTAGCCTGCTGGCTCAGTGTTCGTAAGAACTACAGTTTGTTCCTTCACCATGACTGATCTCCACCAAGCCTAAGAATCTATTTTAACTGACAACCACAGAACGCCATCCCTTTTCACCAATTCCAGTGGCCACAAAAAAAGGAGTATGCATTTACTGTTACCTTGATTAATCTGTTTCAGCACCACATCTGCTACCACCTACCTGAGTTTTGATGCAAAAGACCTGTCGTGCACTGAAACTTAATGTCACTTTCATTGAGTATTTGGGAGGCTGAGTAGCATTCTGCGAGCAGCAGTTTTACATTAATAACGTCAATGACCTTTCAGAGAAGGCATTCTACGAGCAGTAGGTTTACATTAATAACATCAATAACCTTTTAGAGAGATATGATGGGGGTGGAGGTGTGGTATGCTTATTGGATGGGAGATGTTGGCAATTTCTGTGAGGGGATGTGGCGGTTTGGGTAATCCTTGTGGAAGTATATATTTTGCAATTTACGAGAAGAAAGGTCAATGGATAGAAGATGGGAGAAGGAGAAGAGGAATCGGATACAACTTAAGATGACAACGAATCATGCTAAGTTTCATTTTATTGTATTAATTTGAACTCATTATCACATTCCCTTCACCTTTTTATACATCGTACATCTTACAGATAAAACTAAATAATCAAATTTACCTAAAGTGATGTATTTCCGATGTTGATTAAAATAGAGACAGATAGAGGCTAAGCATAATCCTAAACCAATAAAAATATCGTGATAACTCACAAAATATTATGGCATGATGCTTAGTCCATATTTATTCTGTCTCTTTTCATCAAGTGTCCTAAACTCTCAATTATTTATCGGTGGAATAAATGAATAGATATTAAACAATCCCTTTTTTTTAAGGCTGAAATATCTATGTTTCAAGTTAAACATAATTTAATAAGTATTTTATATTTTTTCCCACTCGTTTTAAGTGTGCAACCTTTTGAAACAAAGAGTATGAAACAGACATCTGTCAACTAGTTGCTTTATTTTTTTTAAAAAATTATGATGCAGATATCATACATAGAAACAAGGATGAAGTCCAATGGTATCAAATTTTTTCTCACTCAATCTCCTAGACACTTCGAAGGAGGTGATTGGAATCAAGGTGGTTCATGCAGGCGTGTGCAACCACTTGCGGCAGAAGAAGTGAGTGTTTTCTGTTCTTTTACTTCTGACAGTGATATGCTATGATTTAGACGAACCGTTGATTACGATTTGAATGGTATCTTAAATTGCAAACACAGTTGCCTTCCATGTTTCTTTAGAGGTGTCATCAATACTCTTGATTAAAATTTAGGAAGATTTACATACATGCCACTCAATTCTTTGGTATTTACATCTCTATCAACTTAACTTCATTTTTTACATACATATTGCCATATCTATGCATGAAAAGCTGTATTTCACTTTTCAGAAGTAAATACCACCATTTTAACTTGTACAAGTTGAAATACACCTTTTCATGCATAGATAAGGTGGTATAAATGTAAAAAGTAAAGTTTAGATGTTAGCTATGTAAATACATAGGAATTGGGTGGTATGTATCTAAATGCCTCTAAATTTTTTCAATAATTGTGATAAATTACAATTTGATATTTTGTTAGTATTGTAATTATCACGATGCACTTTTGATAAGTTTATTAATTATTCCGAATAATGCCAGTAAAACTAAGTATTGATTCTTTTCCATGTGATGAAGTCATCAATGTAGTGCGAAAGAGTTAACAACAAAGCTTGTATGTATGTGATACGATCAGATGTCAAAATCGACACGTTTTTCCATAGTAATTAGGGAAAATATAAATTTTTATTGTAATAATCCAAACAACTCAACTAGAATATTAAAGATAAACAACTACAATTCGATAGGTAGACGATCTTTCTCAATTTTTAGTATTCATGAGGTAGGAAATCTCTCTCAAACCCTAAATCTAAGACTCATAACTCAATCCCATGCATAAACGCCTAGACATAACAAGCCTATTTATATTCAATGATGATATTAATAAGAGACTAAGTTGCCCTTAGGTATACAAAAGACAAATTTGCCCTTGGGCTAGGCGCTAACGTAACAATACTCTCCCCCAAAAGTCACATTTTTCTCAAGTTAGAAAAAGTGAGCGTTCCTCCTCCCCCATAACTGCCTTTATTTCTTTATTCTCTGCCTCATTGTCATGCACTATGAGAACTTGTAATTTTTTATCATTGCAACGGTGTCCTGGTTAAATTTATCGTCACACCAAAAACATAACCTCTTTGCTCGCTTCTCCCGAATCTCTGTATTTGTAAGACGCTTGAGTGTTCCACGATCATGGTCCATTATTAATGTTCCGTGCAACCTCCCTCTGGTTCCATTGTTTGAGCTTTTAGTATCGTTTTGGTTGTAGCAGTTTGGTACGACGTTTCATATTTGTTGCTTCCGCTAGCCTTTTTCATCTGATTCTTGTGCTCTATCGTATGAGCTAGCTCCACCGTCACCCTTAATCTCCGCAGCCTCAATGGCTGGAGTGGTGCCCTCATGAAATTTCTCTCTTGTCTTGTTTCAGAAATCCCCCTCAGCTATTTTGACAATAGCTCAAATCTCTCATTGTATTCCATGACAGTCCATCCCGAGTCATGACATAGAATTGCTCGTGTAGGTCACCTTTCCGAATTGCTTGGAAGTGTTCCAACAAACAATCCTTGAATTCCTCTCACGAATAGATCGGGTATCTAGCCTCCTTTTACTGAAATCAGGCTAGACTTTCACAACGAAGTATTGCACCGCCTGATACACCCACCTATGTGTGTCTTCTCCCTCAAAGATCGTCATCTTCAACTCCATAACTCTTAACATCTCCACCCCAACTTTCCCTTCTTCCATTGTATTCCCCCATGTATCAAGGGTAAAACTCGCTCCTTCGATCGTAACCATATCCCCTCCCTGCTTCTATTCATTCTTCTTTGCGCTCCTCCATACCTCTTGCATAATCTCTTCTCCATGTTTCAACCCAATCATCTCCATCAGAAATCTCTAATCCTGTTGATGTTTTCCTCATGTTCCTCATGTTTGTTCTCTTTTCCTTTCGATTAACACGGGGAGCTTAGAACGCATGGGGCTAGAAGCCCCCCGAACCATAGCGAGGCGGATGCGATTCACGAAGATGGGAGGGATTCGAGAAAGCAAGATAGTGAACTATTGAATGCCGCCCTTCCTTTGGTTCCCTTTTGCATATAGGAAGTATGTTTATGGATTTTTCTTGCCTCCCCACCCCTTCTTTTAGTGTGGGAGTTTTCTTTATCTTTCCTAATTTTCTCCTGTGATAGTCTATAAATTATTGTTTTCTATTTGTAAGGGACAGGTTTTTGCTGTGTTTGCTTTTAGATTTTGTGTAGTGTCCTTTTTCCTTTTGAAGGATTGTATCGGAGGAGATGATGGTGCTCTATCTGTATCCTCCTCCAAGGTTGTGTTGTGTCTTTTCTTTTTACCATTCCTACTCCTCTTCCTCACTGCAGCAGTTGTTGGCCCCCCATCCTTCATCCCCACACTCAGCCACCCCCAACTGCTTACTCTTGTTGTCCAGCTCCCCGTACATCACCCCACCCTTCAACCGCCTTGTCCCTGCAGTCCAACAATGCTGTCCCCCTCCCATCTTTCATCCCAGCCTTGGTCACCGCTGTTCTGTAGCAAAACCTGCTACCCAACCCTCTATAATTGTTGTCCCTGCAGTTATGCACCTTCCCCTAATTGCCACCAGCATTCCTTTGTTGCTACCACCCCTACCAACCATCCCGACCCACTTAGTCGACCTCTATTGCCCTTGGAATGTACCTTAGATGTGCTTGTGTCTTTCATGTTTTGTGTTGTTGTTTTCTGTTATGTTGTGTTGTAACCCTCTCTTTACATCAATAAAAGTTTCCTTTGTGTTTTCCTTCGAATTTCATACTACTTCTGGTATCGTTGATTTAGCCAATAAATCTTTGGCCAACCCTTGAACTATTGGCAGGGCATTGAATTGCATCCCAATAAGCTTCTTTATCATCTCTCGAATTTCCCCCGTGTTATTGAATCTGCCCTCCTTTCGGTTTTCCATGAAAGTAAACTTATCTTCTACGGCGGTGAACCTTCTTCCATCTCATATCTGATTTGACTTTTCTCTTCCTCTAATTTTTTCTCCAATTTATCTATTTTCTAAGCTGCCATTTTTCCCAAAAAAAATTTTTGATCACCAAAAGATGAAAGCATCTGTACGCTATTCGACGGGCTAACGACTGAAAATTCCGGAATTTCAAATTTGGCACTATAGAAAATGACGTAGTGCAGTCACTCTATACACAACAATCCCATCGTTGCTTACCAGAATCGCAACTGTACCGCACGAGGCACGCCGCAATCCCGCCGGTCTGCTTATAGCAAGCTCAAGCCGCGACTGAATGACATGAATGTAAGTCGCAACCTCATCGGCTCCCCATCATCTCAGCTCTCACGGATTGAGTCGCGATTAAAGCTTGCGGTCCCTATTTGTCATGATCTTCAACACTTACTTTTCACGGGGCCTTGGAGCACTGGACGCCACGATCCGCAGCAACCTCAGCTCGAGACTTCGTTGCGTTAATGTAAGCCGCGATCCCGTCGGTCCAAGAGACGTAAAACACAATCCCTTCTTTGGCTTCCCCTGGGCAATCCAATCTCTGTACGCTGCAATCCTTTGTGTCATCTTTTACATTGTAGGGTTCGGTCAAGCGTGGTGATCTCCCAAAATTGTCGCTCTGATATAAATTTGATACGGTCAGACATCAAAATCGACACTCTTTTCTACAAAAAATAAGACTAACACAAATTTTTATTGTAACAATTCAAACAACTCAACAAGAATACAAAAACAAACAACTACAATTTGAGAGGTAAGCGATCTCTCCCGATTCCCACAATTCAAGAGGTAGGAAATTTCTCACAAACCTTAAACCTAAGAGTCACAACTTAATCTCATGCATAAACCTAAACCTAGACATTACAATCCTATTTATATCTAAGAATAATAATAATAAAAGACTATATTACTCTTAGGCGTACAAAAGACAAATTTGCCATTAGGCTAGGCTCCAACGTAACGATATGCTTAAGTGGCTTTTCATTCTAATGATCTGAATTATGGTCACTAACTGTTATCTGACTTTTGATTTGTGGTCTAGCTTCTTTCTTTTGCTATAGTTAAAGTCAATAAAATGCTAATTGGTAGTAAGAATACGATATATGACCTTAGTCTAGTAATTGTAAGTTCTTATCCCCTCTTTGATGAGATAAGAACTATCTGCAACTTTGTTTCCCTTGGTGCCTATTAGTAGCGGAGAATATGATACTGAACTGTACTATTACTAGCTTTGATAAACTGTAGCAAAAAATTCATTCATTTTGTTCTTAATAGGAAAATAAGCTATTTCAGCATTCCAAAATACGAACTTCAATTTCAAACATAGCTTAGGCCCTTCTTGGGATACTTCTTCTTTTTTTTGTTTTTTTGTAAAAAAATTAAAAATTTATAAAAGTATTTGTTTACTTATTTTTAAAAACAAATTGATTTTTTAAACAGAACATAAAATAAACTTGATATTTTCTAATATTTTGAAAACAAAAATTTTCTCGCTCGACCCTTCCTCCCTACTTGCAATGCATGTGTGTTATATTTGGCCCGTTTATCTTGCCCTTTTCCTTTCAGGGTTGACAACAATTGAAAAAATTCAAGTTTAGAAGAAGAAACTAGTGCAACGTTAGTGTCAGCCCTTGCTATCAAACTTGCCAGATTGATAGTGATAGCTTTGTGCTTCATATCTCACAGGCCACCAAATTTTGTGGTGTGTTATATTTGGCCCGTTTATCTTGCCCTTTTCCTTTCAGGGTTGACAACAATTGAAAAAATTCAAGTTTAGAAGAAGAAACTAGTGCAGCGTTAGTGTCAGCCCTTGCTATCAAACTTGCCAGATTGATAGTGATAGCTTTGTGCTTCATATCTCACAGGCCACCAAATTTTGTGGGATTTGTAGTGGCGCCTCAACACTCCATAAAAGCCCCTTAGCAACCGTTTGCCAGAGTAGGCCTTCCCATCGAATTCGTTGGATTGATAATGAAGCGTTGATGCTTCAATTAAGTCCTCATAAGAAGCAGCGTTGCTAGAGAAGTCATTGCCACTAAATTAAGTTGGATCAATTCCTTTTTATGAAAGCATCTTCTGTTTTTAAACCTCTAATGAGTATTTTTAAACAATATTTGAATGATTAACCTGCAACCCAAACTTGCACAAATTTAAATTTGCCTGATCCTCATATGCAAAAGAGTTGATAGAAGAGTATGAATAAAATTTCTTTTCCCTCCAATAACAAACTTGCTTAGTATCCCACATGCAAATAGAATGGATATGCTGAATACATCTCTCTGAACTGCCAAGTGTGATAAGCAAAATCCATCTATTATTAGTTATCACCACAATGACTTTAGTAAGGGTATGAAAACCATAAGAAAATATTGCTTCCAAATTATTCAAAGAGTGAGTGATCATTTCACCAAATGTTAAAGAAGATGAGAAGTTTGTTTTTACTGGTTATATGAAAGGAGAGGCATCTCCTGACTCTAGTAGTTATTTGCATTAAATGTTTCCAAAATATAGATGCGTTTTGTTTCACTTTATGCGAAGGTAAGCCATATGAATTGGAACTGGGATGCTTCCAAATGACCTTGGTTTTACACATAATTTTAATAGTATTTAATTTTGGGTGTCCTAGACCAAATGTATGAATTTTTTTCTTTGTTCTATTTTAATGAAGAAAATTATTGATTATGGGTGAAAACTTTTTTCTCAAACACTTTGTGATAATAGTAGTTCTAAATTAATATTGGAGGTAGTTCCATATTAGAGGTGTTAAAAATTAACCTGATACACAATTCAACCCATACTTGACTCAAATAATCCGGGTTCAGGTTGACTTGAATAATTTTTGGGTCGTGTTTGAGTTAAGAATCTTTAACTGTTAAATTTTTTGGATCGAGTTCGAGTTTACTTGCCAACCCAAAATTGACTCAAAATCGACCTGCCAATCTAAAATGGATACAGAATTGACCCGCTAATCTAAAACTGACTCAAAATCAAATCGCCGACACGAAATTGACCTTAGATTGATCCAAAAATCAACCTGAATAATTGTTATGCCTTATGTTAGACGGGTTCTACAAGTCAAGTTCAGGTCAATAAATTTTGGTTTGTGCCAATTCGGGTGAGACTGGAACTTGATCTGCTTACCCGATTTGACACTCCTTTTCTAGGTTATAGATTTAACTAATTGAAATATACCAATAAAAGTGAGTAATTTTTATTTAATGCCACTTATCTAATGATGTATCTTATCAATCATTTTGTGGCAATCAAATGCTTTGAGTTTAATAGAATTAATAATGATGCCAAGATGATCCCATGGAAGAGTTATACAAAGAAATTCAAGGGTATGACTCATATATTGGCTAGATTGTGCATCGACTTATTTTGAGAAGCAGATCGCTGACTTTATGGGATTAGCACATATGTTGTTGGCTACATAGAAGATATTAAGTGTACTAGAGAGCCGCTTGATATAATTTGTGTTTGCTTTCCCAAAAATAAGGAGATCATCGACATATGTAAAATAAGTAATATTTTATTCAGTGCTCACTAAGCCAAAGTAATATGAGCTTTGATAGTTTGGTTCCATAAGCCTATAGAAGATATCCATTATGATAAAAAAAGATATGGTGAGAGTGGACGACCTTTGAAGGTGACATTTCTTCTCCTATTTTTAGAAATTGAATCATTAAAGTTTACAAATAAAAAGAAAATTAAATAGTACTATACCATAAATGATTAATAAACTTTTTTTTGGGTGGGTAAGTGTTACATAATGCATATGTTATTTGGATATTTTGAGCTCAATTAGATTCTTAATGGACTATGTTAATGAGAATAATATTGAAAATAATAATTATCTCTAAATAACTGAGAAGCACAATTTTCTCTATAAACTACAATTAAATTTGACCTTTATTTATATAATAATAATAATATTATTATTTTCTTAACCATAGTAATCCTATACACACACACACAAAATAAAATTAACACACCACCTTTTAAATCCTAACCTCATCATCTCCCTCTGCTCGAATGCCCCATCATCTCGCTCACCCGTTTCACGTGGAAGTTCACTGCACCGTTTGCCTGCGATCTTCGGCGAGCTCTACACCGAGCACAACAAACCTCGCGGGCCTCATGCTAGATCCTCCATTTTACCATAAATCTTGGTATGGGATTGGAGAAATTGAAGCTCATGAAGGTGAGTGAGAGGAAGTGAGAAAAAGAGGGTTACCTTCGTCCATTGATTTGGGTAGGAGCGGGATGGAAGGTGTCTACTGGAAGCTCGTCACACTATCTGCCTGAGAGCTCTGACAAGCTTTGCACCGAGCATAGCAACCCCACACAGGTCCTCATGCCAGATCCTCTATTTTGCCATAAATCCAAGTATGGGATTAGAGAAACTGAAGTTCAAGAAGGCCAGTGGAAGTGAGAGAAAAGTGACGTCTTCAATGGTTTTGGGTAGGAGTAGACGGAAGGAGGATAAAGATGGGGAGCTTCAGACACTTTGTACGCAATGATCCTGTTGCTGTCTTCCCAACTATTTTAAACCGGAATTAGAGTGCTAAAGCTCACCAAGGTAGGTGGGAGGATATGGGAGAAAAATGAGGGTTACTTTCATCAATGGTTTCAATTAGGAGCAAGGTGAAAGGAGGAGAAAGGTTGGAGTTTTGGTGGTCTTTCTATGCTGCAATCCCTTCATTACTTCCTAGCTATTTCAGATGGTAAATTTAATGAAAAGTGTTATTTTTTGTGCATTTTGCCTCAAATGTTTGGTTTCTTCTTCGACAAGCTTGATTGAATCGGCAAGCAAATAGAGGCTGGTGAGATCGTTTAACACTTTTAATTGAATTACAGTAGTGTAAATAATTGAAGTTTGGGTGCAAGATATGTAAAATTAATAGTTTTGAGTGTTATGTAAATCCCCCTAATTTTAATTTACTTCCAAATTAATCCTAGATTTAAAAAAAAAATTGGTATGATGCTTTTTTCTTGCCAATTTCTTGTCATTTGTGCGTGTCAAATTTGACTTTGTAGGGTTGTATGCATGTAAATTTTAGTTTTGCTTCAGTTCGGCTGATAGGTCAATATATGCTTCCTTGAGTATTTTCAACATTACGGTCATGTTGGCACAACCTATCTTTATGAATAAATGATGATTGCTCAATTTGAATGGAGATCGGTGCCTTTCTGTTTAGGTTCGGGTGAAATTACACTTGTCATGCTTGATTGGATGGCTTATGAGCCATGTATGTAGGTCAACTGGTTTACTTAAAATGCATTATGCTATTAGTGCTCTCCATTCAAGTCTTAAAGACATCCATCCATGCCCAATGATTAGTTAAATTTTTTGAGAATCACTACTGATGGTAATATTCCTCATATCAATGGAAGGGGATGTCGCCATCATCACTATTTCTATCAAATGTTGCGTGCAATTATAACAAATCATCTCTTGAATATTCCACTCATGTGTTAAAGTTTCCCCATCAAACATTAAATATTAGGAAAGTGTCAGGAACATTTTCTTTGACCAAATATCTCCGCTCAATATAGAGCCATTAGAGAAATACCCTTAAGATTAAAAATTAGCATCCAAGAGTTTTATATCCTGATGATTGGTACAGTTATAAATGATCATAACTGGAGGTATCATTGCCATTGAGGATTAAGAATAAGTCTCTAGGCTCAATAATACACTATCATCTTTTTTTTGAGATGATGAACATTATCAGAGTGAGTTTGTATCGAAGTGAACTTTTGCGTCCATCACTAAGTCTATTATTCCAAATTACTTAAAAATAATAAAATAATCAAATAAAATGTAATAGACTAAAACTTACTTAATAACTGTGCACCTTACATTGGGATTTGTGCCATTCGCCCACTCTCCACATTAAAGGGTAATAAATGTAAGTTTAACTAGATCTCACAAAATGCTAGTGGCATATCCAATTTATCCGTATGATTATTAATAATTGCTTATGGTTAATGACAGTCTTCTTTCAGACTACATGGCCATGCCTAAGATGTGCCTATGAACCATGATAGCAGGATGAAAGGCCAAGCCTAGATGTTTCTTAGCTACTAAGTTTATGAGTTATGAGGTATATGATGCACTTGATAGGGCATGATTTCCTTTGCTATCCAATTTTAACCTTGAAAATTCTTTTTAAGCAGCTTCCCTTTACAGGTCTATATGATTCTCATGGACAATATAACTCCTGGTTCCCTCATAGAACCTTGGATTAGATTTGATTGGCTTCCTCCTTCGACTAAAGTATGCCAGATAACATGAGAACCCAAGTTTACAAAATCATGAATCTTATTTTGGTTTATTATCATTCCCCCGACATTTTTTCTAAGGTAAGGGCACCAATCTTCTCTTCTTAATCCGTATCATTTAAATCAGATTATGCATGAATCCATCATGGAGCTTATGAAACTCGTTTTAATCAAACGTGCTCTCTCATAATTGAATAGGATAATTAATTACAGAGGATTGCACCCATGAGAAATCTCTGCATCATGAATTTCAAGTTCTTTATGAAGGTAAAATATTTAATTGGTGCTTCATCTACTCTTTAATCTATCTTATGAAAATTCAACCTGAACAATAACTCGAATGATGTATATGCAGAGTTGAGTGGAGGCGTTTTAGGATAAAGTTGATAGCTGAGTGACTGGATTTTTAAGCTAAGGTCAGCCTCAATTGACTTGAATAGGCTTTAGTTGCAAGTTTATTTACTTTAACACATTCACTATCACAGATCATGGTCTTCTGCACTTAGCGTGCTCAACTAACAAAATTACCTCTTTAAAAGAAAAATAAAATAAAACTAACGTTATTACATTTCTACTCAACTCGATTGGAACGCACTATTAAAGAGGGCATCGTAGAACTATGTTGATTTCACAGTAAATCTGAATTAGATTCCTTATTTTGTGCAGTCTGCAACATAATAAGTATAACGAAGCTTTGTTTTTTTGACTTTGGGTGGACTTCAGAGTTTCCTTGGTTTCTCTTCATGTATTATAGAGATATGTGTGATAAAGCTAGAAAACATAGTGATAGTTTTATTTAAAGTCCCTGGAACTTCATCTTCATTCAGAAGCTGTAATTTCAACTGTAAATTATATTTGTTGTTTATATTTAATCTTTTAATCAGGTTGAAGATTTTTTTAATTTGGAAAGAAATGGAACGAATGTGGAGGTTCGCTTGGTGAATCAACATCTCTTGAAAGCCCTAAAGGGGTCCAACTTTCTCATACTTGATGTAACTCATATGAGCGAGTTTAGGGCAGATGCCCATCCTTCAACCGCAGGAGGTAAGAAGCACGAGGACTGTATGCATTGGTGCCTCCCTGGATTAACAGACACATGGATTGATTTGCTCATGGCTCGTTTAGAGAATTTGGAGTTTTAGTGGTTTTAATTATTCTTTGATTTTTATTTTTTTAAATTTTAATTTTTTTCTTTAGCTTGTAATTATTATTTTTATGTAGGGGCATTTATTTTGTTGTAAAAGTAGATGTAGTGTATTTGGAATAATTTGTAGATGGTTTGATGTAAAATAAATATAAGAGTTTATATTTTTGTGTTTAGTTTGAAGAAAAATAAAGCTAATGTAAAGCACGAGCAGCGTTGGCAGGCGGCGAGTGAACAAATAGTGACCAGCAGGCATCGGCGGTGGCCAACAGCGTGCATCAGTGGTCTGCAATTGGCCGACGCCTGATGACTAGCAGTTGCATCAAATATGAAGAATATTGAATGTATGGACCACAGGTAACTCCGAATATACCAAAATTTAACATAGCATTTCATTTTTATCCAAACAAACCCTGTGTTTCATTTACACCACACCGCAAATTGAGCTAACCATATAGTCTCCTGTCCTGATTAATTTTTGAAAGTTATTTAAGGCTTATATGAGAGAGATGTGAGTAGAATCATGTGGATAATTTACAAAATAGTTCATGTTATTATGTTTGTTTTATTTTTTATAATGAGTATAATGCTGTAGCAAGCTAAGCGTAAAGCTAGAATCTTTTCTCCAGGCCAGAACTTACAGGACGAAAGAGCTCAGTATTAGTGACGTCTGAAGTGAAATAAATTTTTAGTATTGAAGGTGAAATTTTATTTATTTATCGTTTCTCATTTGTTTGATTGAAGTTTTTTTTAAATGTTTCATGAAATAGTAAATTATATTAAATTCTTATTGTAGGCTTTGAAAATTGGATGTCCTAGACTCTCTTTGTTGATGAGAGTTTTATTTATGGATATTGCAGATCGAAGGCAGATTGGATTGTAAATAAGACACTACATGAAGATTTTGCCCTCATTTTGTGAGGATTTTTTAATTGATGTTTGAGGTTTCTCATATGGGCAAGTCCTTATGGTTAATTACCTCTCAATGATGAGAGCATTTTTCAAAGGCTAGTCATGAAAAACTGAGTATTCATCGTATGGTAGCAGAAGATATAGGGTTTTAATTGTAAAATTTCTTACTTTGCGCTTAAAGTGGGTGTTAGGGAAAATGGTAATGAACTTGATCGAGATCCCATATTTTGTCGACTCAAGTCATCGTTATCTCTTATTTATTTAACAAGAGAACGTAGTTGACCCAACTAGATTGAAGGATCATTGTCAACAATCATGAGTTATGTCGCTTAAGAGATTCTTGTAGATATGATATGATTCTTTATTTAAGATAGCAAATTTAAGTTGATACCAGCTAACATAAGATTTTGTGTCAAACAAATATATCATAATGGTTCACAACAAAAGGTAGAAAATTATTGAGGAGCATATGTGTCGTAGCTGTAATTGTAATATAATTGTCATTTGATAGAAATTACCCTCGTAACCATCACTTTTTATGGAACCTCTGAAGCCAAAACATATGGACTGTTGACTCGGGTCACATCCTTTCTAGTGTGAGCTTACTTTGAGTGTGAATATAATGTTATATTCGATGTGATATTTGTTCTTTGTGACCTGAAGTCAATCAAAAGTTTGAATTTTTGACAACTATTGCGGAGAGTGGATGATATTTGTTCTAATGATTTAATTTAACTTGAATACTTTGGTTAGTTACTTAGAAAATTTAATTTACAATTAACTCATTCGATTTAAAAATTCTATCAACTCGGCCATCATGAGAGATTTTGGTATTTGAAATATTTATGTTTAATTTTTTTTTTGAAAATTTGACACTTATCAATAAAATATTATTCTTATCAACTCTAATGTTAAAGAGGATGATCAAATTATGTGATGTGGATTTGCAAATTTTTATATATATTATCTAGATATTATTAAAACTTGTTACATTTGTCAACTCCAGCCCTTAAGAGGAGAGTTGTTAGATTAGTTGATGTTTACAATCCCAGTTGTTGAATCCAAATATGCATATAAATTATGCTCAAGGAATAGAGTTTAGAAAACCGAGAGCGAGGGAGAAAGAGAGAGAGAAAGGAGTGACAAGACATTTGCCCCCGGCGGGGCAAAGCGGGGCAAAGTAGAGCTATTCCTCGGGCTCTCAAATCCATTTTTTTATATTGGAAAAGTTCTCGAGTCTCTGGACAAAAGAAAACATAATTAGAAGAGTTTATATATAGGTGTTTAAGGGGAAAAAAAAAGGTAAAATATAATTGTTGGATATTTCGATCATCCGGAATTTTCGATCCCCCTGGAAATTTTGGTAATTTTTTGTTTGCCTTGATACTTCAACCGCCTAAGATTTTCAGTCTGTTGAATATTTCGATCACCTGGAATTTTCGGTCGCCTGGACATTTTTTCCTTCTGAATTTCGACAGTCTCAAATTTTTCGGCCGCCCTAATTAATTGGTTGCCTTATGTTTCAATTGCCCGAAAGTTTCGGATGCATGGATATTTTGATCGCCGAGAATTTTTTGTTGCCTAGATATTTTGGCCTTTTGAATTTTGATCGTGTGAAATTTTTCAGACGCATGGATATATATATATATATATATATATATTGATATTTCAGAAGCAAAAATTCATTTAAAAATAGAACAAAAGTTTAGATACACAATTCACTTTGTAGTGAGTACCGAAAGTGCCAAAGAAATATAAAAAAATTAATAAAATTACAAGTAAAATAATGATGATATTATTTTTAACATTAAGGCGATGTATGTCTCGTCATAAACTGTCCTTCAATTTTGTGATAACTTTCGATAGTGAAATCAATCCGACTGTTGGCCCATCGGGAGAAGTCATACTTTTCTGTGAAGCTCCGCGACCATCTTGATCTGAAAGAAGGGGAGGCTCGGTGCTTCAAGCGGCAGTGTAAGAAGGAGTGCAACGAGCAGGGGGCTTCGCGAGCGGGCTTGATGCTTCGAAGGGGATCTTCAATTTGTGATGCGTTCGAGAGCAAGGGGGCTTCACGAGTCGAGACGCTAGAACCTCCTTCAGCTTCGCTAGAGTAGCAAATGTTTCGCGGGGCAAAGATTGAAATTTCTGGATCGGTAAAGTGGGTCGTAGGGTTGATCCTGCTGCCCCGCATTTTGTTAAATTCGCGTCTGTTGGCCACAAACTCTTAATTCAAATGTCGATGAATTCGAACGGGTCATGGTTGGGGGCCACGCTGCACGAAAAAAGAGGCCCCCATGTATATATATATATATATATATATATTATATAAATGAACCATTATGTGAAAATTTATTCTTAATATAGATCTATAAGACCATTTAAAAAAGATTGTTTATTTCCTCTTTCATTAGTCTAATAAACATTATTTAGCTTAATTGCAAACATTTATTTTTTGATTGATTAATTCTATCCATATATGCTGTGCTATGGTGCTTAAATTGTACTATATATATACTTTTATTATTATATTAAACTCGTGCATTGCACTCTATTTCATTACTATCATTATGTTACAAAATTTCAACTCCATTCTACAACATTACAATCACAATGTTCTAGATCTTAAATTGCTATGTTATAGTTATTGTGCTGTACCCATTATGTTATTGTATAAAATCTCATTTTATTGCATGGCGATTATTGCTTTGTAGCTATGCTATATCTATCGTGCTACTGTAAAATCTAGCCATTTTTTGTTGAAAACATATGCAGTCTCTTCGGTTTGAAGGAATTGATGGAGGAGAAATTAAAAAGCAAAGAAAAACAACAAACATAATTCAATTGAGTTTTGTTTTCATGTAAATGCATTTAATGAAGAATAATTATTATGTGATTTTGTTATCATTATTATTATTTCTTAAGTTTATAAACTTAATTTATGTTGCATGCAAGTCGAACATATTCGAGTTGTGCCTGAATCTGGAGGTCTTCTACTCATCCGTACTAAGTGTCGCTGCCTGAAAACTTTATGTTCAGCAACGGAGTGTTTTCAGAACGTCTCTGAATGTAGTATCGCAAGAATCACAAATTTTTGCTCTTTCAAAACAGGACCATGAGGCCCATTCTGATTATAATAATGACCAAGTGATTATTAAAAATAAATAATTGCCTATATATATATATATATATATGCATTTAAGTGATCAATTGCCTTCCACATGGCCAGCATTAACCAACAATGATGCATCAATAACTAAATATTTAACCGTTATTTGTTATTTCAAATTGAGCAAACTAATTTTAATAATAATAATTTAACTGTTGATGAAGAAGAAGAAGAAAGAACATAAAATAAAAGAGAAAAAGATAGAACCACATGGAAAAATATAATAATAATGTTCACAAAAGCACAAGTATGCACACAATTAGCTCGTTGAGCCAAGCTGCACCACACTCAGCCAGGACTTCACAGATTGAATCCCTCACTGAGTGACATATAATAAGGATCAGATAATTAGAAAAAAAAAAACATATATAATGATAAAGAGACTTAGGAGGCCATAGATAATGCTTCCTGATATCAAGAAATTTCTTACCATGCTTGAATTTCATGAGTTAGTTTTTTGTTCTGAATATAAAAACTAACTTATGTAAGAAATTTCTTATAGGATTTCTTGCTTCTGGTACAAGCAGCACGCTTAGGGTCTGTTTGGGGCAGTTGCAGCTTATTGAATAATTTGCTGATAAGCTATGTTCTGTTTGGGACAACTGCAACTTATTGAATAATCTGCTGATAAGCTATGTGTGATTACTATTATAATTTTTTATTTTTTTTTGGAAAAGTTAGATCGCTGTCAAAAAGCTGTCGTCGCATCTAGATGTGTGCGGTGCTGAAGTTTTCAGCGTTTTGAAAACGAATAAGCTGCCAAAACATAGTTTAGCCAAACAGTACATGTGCATTTTAAAAACGCCACTGTACCAAATAAACTGCCCTAAACGGGTGGTTAGCCTTGGACCTCCATGTCATCCTTATGGGTTAAACAACCTAGAGAGAGAGAGAAGAGAGAGAGGGAGAGAGAGAGAGAGAGAGAGAGAGAGAGAGGTAAAGATGAGAAGATAAGAAAAATGAAAGAGAATGGTGGGTCTATGGAACAATAATTAGGGCGTGCTGATCTCACTCACATGCAAAAAAGCCAAGCCTGACACACAACACATGCAGCTGCCTAGCATCCCACATGCACAAAGTTCCACTTTCCTCAACACATATACATATCACCACATGCAATTAACCCTAACCCTAAAGTCATCACAAAGTAGAGGAATAGATACCAAAGCTATACAGTCATAGTAAGGAAGTTAAGATAATTAATGAACGTTGGAAATATTAGGGGTTCAGTGCAAGGAGAGGAGGTGGTGGTGGCGAGGGCAGGAGAGGAGGTGATCGTTGGTGAGGCCGGCCGCTTGCATGAAAGAATGGATGATGGTCGGGCCGACGGAGCGGAAGCCGCGGCGGACGAGGTCTTTGCTTATGGACTCCGACTTGGAGGTCTTGGGAGGGATTTTCCGGCAGGATTTGTAACTTGGGTCGAGTGGCTTGTGGTTGACAAAGTTCCAGAAATATTTGTCCAGAGAACCGAAGTCCTTGGTCACCTGCATGTAGGATATCTAAAATTAAATATAGATAGGGCTAAGAATTTAGCTCCGAGATTCTTCAAGTATCTAAAATTGGTTCGAATTTTGGCTAAGATCGAAATAAACAAGTCGAGCTATGAGTCATTACTATGGATCAAATTTCTTTGAGTCGACTTCAAGCCATACAAGAATCTATTGAAAGTATTCATTATTTATGCTATTTTCATTGTTACGTATGAATATTATATTAACAGTTAAAAAGATAGTCATATTAAACTGACCCAATTGCTTTATCCAATACTAGAAAGAGATAGAATGCTAATGAGGCAATGAAGCGACTGCAGAGCAAACGTCTATTGAATCCCAAGATGCAATAGACAGCCGCTTTTAAGATACTTCTGTATTGTTAAATGATAATGTTTTTTTATATTTTCTGTTAGCAGATTGATATAATATCATTTTATAATAATATATAATTTAAAATTATTATAATTCTATTAATCTTAAAGTAGAAAATTTTGATGTATTATTCCATTAGAAAAGTACTCTGAGTAACAAAAGCATCATTTAGCTGACAGCATACCATGTGATGAGATGCCTTTCTTGTTTTATGATTTTCTCCTTTGCAAAAGTAAATGTATTTTTAGCATGTTG